TCACTCAATATCCTTCACGTTTCATTTGTTGGCTACTTCTTTTTTTAATAGTTCGGCTGTACATCTTACGAAACGAAATTCTGATGTTTATAATACTTTACTCTATTCAATTATAAGAAATAATCAAGACAGTAGGCATTACAGTGTTGTAAATAAAATTCTTTTATTATATTTCGAAGCTACAGCTAGGAAAATGAGAGAGCAACGTATAAATAGTATAAAAATTCAATAAAAATCAAATACTAAAATATCAAACGAAGTAAGCACTAATAGAAGAGAGTTCATTTTAACATTCGCCATTAAGCATATCCAATCGTGCTTTTATTAACCATTCAAATTATGTTTCTTCAATGCTCTCTTGTATATCTGCAATTACAAACACTTTATCAGTAAATCAATCAGACAATCTGGTTTAACTCAAGTTATGCTTTAATGATTAAAGCAAAACTTACACGGTTGATATGTGTATTGAGAGCAGCTACGCTTTTAAAAACCACATGACATTTGCATACTTCATTGAACGGTATTTACCCGGTTGTTTACCGGTTTCCTTGTATGGACGATGAGTATGTGGACAGAGACAATCGTCGTGGTCATCGTTGTTGTGGATCGGTTTTTGTCGTTGACATTCTTCCGTGTGTGGGTTTCGGTCATTATACCAATCTCGAAAACGACGTTGAACATTGAATACCTTTGCTGGAATATCGGAAAGTTGAAATAAGCCACTGTGTGAAAATGGTTCCAGTTCGGCACGTAAACGGCCCCATGCATAGATGGTGTTGGTCGATTTAAATATCGTTTTCATCAATTTAACCAGCTCATTAAATTTGTCTGCTTTGTTGGTTTTATCTAGCAGGTGATTCATTTCAATAAATAAAATTATTGATGGGGCGGTGAACGATATGCCTTGGATCTGAATCAGTGCTGGTTGTGCGAATAATAGTCGGACTCAGTGTCGATAATGTATGTTGATATGTTTTCTAGTTTACTGTTTAATTGTTGTATGTCGGATATCGACCGTAATTTATGCACATGATGGATGTTGTATTGTTTTTTAGATACATAAAATGGATCTAATTGTTTTAGTTTGTTTTCTTGATTTTCTCGTCGTTGGCGTTGACGCGCGTTTCTTCGTTGTTTTGCTGTTTGTGGTTGTTGTATTTCATGTCGATGTTTCGGTAATGATCTTGAGGATGGCTGATGTTCGAATATTGAATTCGATGTTCGTTGATGGTCTGATGTTGGATTTGATAATTGACGATATCTAGGTGATATATCCCGATGTTGATGATATCTAGATGGTGGATGTCGATTCATGCTGTGAATAATATAACGAGAGTAGAGAAGTAATAATGAGAATAATAGCAAAAATAGTATATCTGGAGAAAACAAATAAGAATAAATCTTTATTATCTTTTCCTTTCGGTGTCAGGAAAATTTAGCTGCTCTTCCTATCAATACCAGGAAAATTTAAAAATCTTTTCCTCTCAAGTTCAGGGAGACATGGCATTCTTTCCTCTCAAACAGGAAAATCTCTAGTCCTCTGTTCTCAGGCCAAAGTTTCGGATGAATTTCGCTATTGGGATTCACAGATCGGTATCACACATATTCATTGTAATTAGTATGATCAATGATGTAGATGCGAAACTATTAATTTCACATGCATCGCATAATTTTTGTTGAAAATTAACCGTGAATGTTTGAGTGAGATTAATAATACTGTTAACCAGTAAGAAATATAAATAGTCGACCATATAACAGCCCCTCCTGGCAGTGGAGAGTGGAAAGCTACTCCTCCAACAGGCATTGCTGGATCACATGAGTGACCACCCATAAGTAGACCAATACAAAAATGTTGTGCATTATAATTCCCACTAGTCGGCTGTTGACCATTGTTTTAACTGATATTTAGACGTTCGAACATTGGTATGATGGAATCGACGATTTGTTTTGTCAAAATTGGTTTTTTGATGTGTTGCACTATATATGTCTTGTCAGCCAATCGTTGAGCGATCTTAAACGGACCTTCATGGCGAACATCAAATCTTCGTCTATTATTTATTGTTTTGACCAGAACCAAATCACCTAAGTTGTATAGTGGATTCGATCGATGTAAATCGTAACGTTTTTTTGACGTACGCGAAGTTAGCACCATATTGGAGTAAAACCTTCACATATTCGTTTAGGAACAAGTCCAAACTGTTCCAGCCCGGCTACAGGTAGAACTCGACGAGCTCTATCAATCGGTATCCCTGGACTTGCTATAGTCCAAACCATATGGAAGATAAACCCAAAATACCCATTTTAAACTATGTGAATGCATAGTTTTGATTATTTCTTATAATTGAATAGAGTAAAGTATTATAAACATCAGAATTTCGTTTCGTAAGATGTACAGCCGAACTATTAAAAAAAGAAGTAGCCAACAAATGAAACGTGAAGGATATTGAGTGA